TCTTATTATTAGCAAAATTAAAATTAGGATTTTTACTTTTACAGCGCATTGTTTACAACAGTTCCTATAACTGTATTCTTTGATGTTAATTCCTATATAAAGGTGTTTCTTCATACGCTACACAGCGAATCAGTCACGTGATCAAAATTTATTAGAGCATATTTCTTTGCTCTCTTATTATTAGCAAAATTAAAATTAGGATTTTTACTTTTACAGCACATTCGCTTACAACAATTCCTATATAACTCTATTTTCCTTCTAATTTAATTCCTCTAAAGGCGCCTCTTCATACGCTGCAGCGAATCACTCACGTGATCAAAATTTATTAAAGCACATTTCTTTGTTCTCTTATTATCAAAGTTAAAATTACGATTTTTGTTTTTATATTCTATAAGAATTAATTTTATTCTTTAAAAAATCCATAAAACTAATATAATAATAATAATTCGAATCAAATGCACATGAAATGGTGAACCTTAACTCCCAGAATAAATTCGATCGAACGAAGAAAAAATCCGCGGATTGCGTTGAGCCTTTGAATTTTAAACTTCTCGGAAGAACTTTTGCGCTCATCATATGTTCATCCTTTGAGATCTAATCGCGACGAGGGGATCAAGACTACCCCGGTAAATTTAGTACTCGTTAAGTTTCGCCCCTTCGGTATATTCTGTTCTATACACACTCCTGCATCTGTATGTATACACGTACACAAAGCCGCGTTTAATCACGAAGGAAAGAGAGGGAGCAGAAAGAGAGAGAGAGAAAGAGAAAGGGCTCGTAGGAAGGAAGGAAGGAAGGAAGGGAAGAGAAAACCCATGGAGGGTGCCCCGATAAGTATTATTGTAATTATACACTTAGGTTTATTTCCTGCGAACGCGCACTCATAGGGGTTGATGGCATTATATACCACGGCACCCTAATAAAAATAATAAGAGCGTTAAACCGCGAGAGAGAGAGAGAGAGAGAGAGAATAATGTTCGCCTTTCCGTGCGGCCAACCGCAAACGAATCCTAATAATGCGTGTTGTACAAGTTATTGTGGTTGTGTTGTGCGGTCCCATTTATAGGGAGACTCGCAACGAGTAGCTTCTACACTTGCCGACACTCGAATTCTTTGCGGAAAAAATAGACAGGAATCAATGAAATTCTTCCTCCAAGAGATCGATTCCGCGATGCTTATAACAAATTCATGGATAACATTTACATCTGTATAATCTACGATAATCCTCGAGCTGATTTATGTTTTCCCTGATAATATTGCGCCTTTAAATTATTTTTTCAGAGAGTCTCCCGCAGCAACTTGGAATATTTTTAGACAAAGTTCTAGCTGTTAAAAAGAAATCGAGATCGAGGTATATAAGTATTATATATTGTATCCCTCGTGTTCGAGTCTCGCGGCGTAATCTTCATAAAGTAGGGAACGATAAAAACCGGGGAACTTTGAGAGACAAGGCGGAAGTGTCGTTCGTCTATCCGACCGTCCATGTTTCTCACTGATATACAGAGAGCAAGAAGACCCTCGTGTGTCCAGAACTCGTGGTTTACGCGCGTGTGTGGGTTTATTTATAGCTGGTGAGGCAAGGTCTCTACATAGATTTACGTGTGTCAAAGCCTGGCGTGGCGCAAGAACACATCGCAAACCCCTACATCAAGCTGTATTGCGAGCTTTTGCGCAACATTTCGCGAACAGGGAGAGCTTGAAGGTAGGACTGCGTCCTGTCGAGGTGCGCATCATGGATTTGCGTAGATTTTTTTCCAGAAGAGGACATAATAATTTTTTTTTATTTTAAAATTATTTTGGTTTTTTTTTTTTGAAATTTATTTTTTGCTACTTTGTTTTATCTTCATTTTTTTATATTTAATATGCAAATAAATTTTAGAGTTTATTCAAAAGGAGAGCTAATGCTTCGTTTTTTTACTGATTCCAAAGGGGGCAAATGTTTTTTTTTTTTAGTTTGTTCAGCATCAACAATAAATAATACAGATAACCAACGATTGAAATAATTGATGAATTTGTTCTGTTTCAATTTATGATTAACTTCTTAGAAAAAAATGATTCGATTATTTTTGCAGTTATTTGAAGTTTATTAAAATCAAAGATAATAATTGGGATTCGAATCTGTGTGATAATTAGATATCGATTAAACTGTCTTCAGAAAGATTAAAACGAATAATTTGAAAATTTATTGGTGACTATTTAACAATTTTTGAAATTCATATTCTCCAATAAATAGATTTTATTTATAATTCTTTTCTCTTTTTTTTAAGAGAGGGAGATGGATAAACAGACTTGGTCGATAAAAATTATTTTTTATAATTGAAAACCTCTTTAACAGTCTCGTTTATTCTAGTGATTAGAAGCGAGAAACTTGAATAATTATGACTTATGAAACAATATATTAATTAAAATAATTAGAGAGGATAGATTTAAAAGCAAATTTGTTACGTGGCTCTTATTAGCTTTTTTCGTATCTGATTTTGAATTTATATATCAGAACCTTCTTAATTTACTTTTTTCTAGAGATGTAAAACAAATGTTGTAAAATAAATATATACACGTAGAGAATTTTATAAGAGTTTCTCCGATTAATATTTACCACAATAAAAAATATTAATATGTGCATAATAAAATTAATCGAACATATTTTTTATCTTATTTTGATAGATATCAATATTAATAAATTTCTACTGTGAAATACGTCGAAAATACATGGATGCGAGATTTGCGGACATATATACATCTCCCTACTACAGCTTCCTTTTATCTTCCTTTAGCTTTTCTGCGAGAATCGCACTTTCGAAGTGTGTCTCACCGATGGTGGCCCGCCATAATTTTCAATTGCGCAAATTAACATTTTCGTTCTGCGCGTCTCCGTGAAGCGCAATAAATAAGGGGGCCAAGTGAGTAGTAAATATAAATCAGGAGTGATTGGATGTAACCGGGGGTGTTATGTGTCCCCAGTGTCCCGTGTGTGGGATCGTCCGTGGGTCTTCTACGACCGAGAGAGACGGAAAGAGAAAGATGGACGTATATATCCGGCAAACGTAGGTGAAGCGATCGTGAACTATCTTCGTGTAGCGATGGCTCTAAGCTGTCACCCGCTTTTCATATCTTTCGAACAACTTTAATACACCCTCAATCGATCAGTTTACTACGCAAACCAATAAGAAATCTGTAGACAGAACTTTTTCGGATATTAAATCATTTTTATTTATACTTTAGCCAGTATTATTTAATTTATGAATTTATCTTTTTTTTTTTTTTTTTTAAGAAATTATAAATTCATAAACTATTTTATTCGTTATCTGTATTATTTATTGTTGATGCTGAACACACTAAAAAATATCTTTATTATATACATATAATTTAATTTTATATTATATAAATTTTATTATATATATTATTTATATTATATTATAACATATTATATATATATATAGAGAGAGAGAATATAATATATAGAGATCTATAAAGAGATATAGGAGATCTCTCTCTCTCTCTCTCTCTCTAATATCTCTCTCTGAGAAGATAATATTATAAATATTATATCTAAATATTATATCTCTCTCTTATTCTTATAAATCTTCAGATATCTTATGTTTTATTATTATAGATATCATATATATTATACATTTTATTATTATTATATATATTTATAATTATATACTTAATAAATAAAATCGGTTTCCTGTTGAAAATTGCCATGGAAGTAGATATAATCGCGCGTTACGTCTTGGAGCAACTAGATGTTTTTTTTCGTACAGTTCGACGGCAGTTGTCGACTCCATCGCTACCCTTATCCTAGTTTACCTTTACTATGTATTGCAGACGACGTACTCGCTCGGCGTCGACGTGTCTCGATACTTGGAAGTATGTATTCTACAGCAAGTACGAGCGATGAACCGTCGGCGGAGTCTCACGCCGCCGCCCCCTATCATTTTAATTTTTTTCCTCCCTCCCTCCGTTTATATCCGTCGCTAAGAATTTAACTCTTTACAGTTCAAAGCGAACTGAATAACGCTGCTGGATAACGAGTACGTTAGAGCACGATCCGAATTCGTAATGAGGCTAACACGTTTCGATTTTGTTCTAGCGGAATGATTACTAGATTATTCAGATGCTAACTATATACAAGATATAGGATAGAATTTTACCGTGTTGATCTTGCGAATTCTTTTTTTCCCTTCACCATGTTTTCACGTAATTCAAATCGCGCGTCTCCCTTTACAAAAATATTATATCCCCTTTGGGGCATTTTTGAAATTTATTTGATATACAGATTAAAAATTTCTGTTCATCAAAGACTTTGAAAGTAGAAATTTTTAAAAATCGAAATTTATCTTTACATATTTTCCGCTAATTTCCGGAAAATGTGTTCTCATTTTCGAATTCGGGATACGCTACGTAACATATATCTAAATACTGCATGACATATCTGGACACTTTCGCTCGGGGGCAAATATAAACCAAAGTTTGGCGATCTATTTTAACGTAGCCCTGCATATTAACGATCCGTTTATATCTGTCCTTATGTGAAGTGAGTCAGTTTGGTTTTTCGCCGGCGCGGCGTATGACACGAATGTACGGTCGCGCGAATATAACGAGTCATTTCTCTCGAACGAACGCACACGCGCTTCGCTTTTTTTCCTCTTCTCCCCCTCGTGCACAGGTGTGTGTGTGTGTGTGTGTGTGTTTTGTGTGTGTGTGTGTGTGTGTGCTGTGGAGAGACACAGGTGTAGGCCGGATATCGATTATGTAATCTTGCGGCCGTGCGGAGAGCCGTGGCACGTATACGCCGTAATGCACGAAGAGCGTCCCTTCACCCTCGGATGGCGAGGGGTTTTGGGGTGGAGGGGGATGGCGCGAGCCGCCACCCCCATGCGCATAAAACAGCTCGGGCCCGCCCCGTGAAGCACTTGTGACGTTAATTGTCGCCTTACTAGCATCGCCCGCCGACAATCTCCCTTGTCACGACGCTACATACATATGTCGTTTTTCAGATTTTGACGAGAGCGACGACGTGGCGCGATCGGTTCGTCATCGACATCGAGATTTCTTCTGGCCGGAAGCTCGCGGAACGGTGAGTGAACGCAAGCTCTGCTTTATTTCGCCTCGAGAAGGTGGCATTGAACCTTCTTCGGTAGAACTATATCAGGGTTCATTTATCGAAACGCACGTCAAATGACGTATAAAATAGTAGATGAAATGATTAGTTTTTTATTTAATATTTTCTCTGCAAAAATAAGGAGAAAAATTGTGTGGAAAAATTTCCTTTATATGATCGCAAGAAGATAATATTGAACTTTTTTCGTTAACTCAATCAGAGTTCATATCGAAACACACGTCAAATGACGTATACAATATCTGATAAAATGCTCATTTTTAATTATGTTATTTAATTGTGTTATTTTCTCTGCAAAAATAAGGAGAAAAATTGTGTGGAAAAATTTCCTTTATATGATTTGCAAGAAGGTAGTATTGAACTTTTTTCCCAATCAGAGTTCATATCGAAACACGTCAAATGACGTATAAAATATATGATAAAACGCTCATTTTTAATTATGTTATTTAATATTTTCTCTGCAAAAATAAGGAGAAAAATTGTGTGTATAAATTTCCTTTATATGATCGCAAGAAGATAATATTGAACTTTTTTCGTTAACTCAATCAGAGTTCATATCGAAACACACGTCAAATGACGTATACAATATCTGATAAAATGCTCATTTTTAATTATGTTATTTAATTGTATTATTTTCTCTGCAAAAATAAGGAGAAAAATTGTGTGGAAAAATTTCCTTTATATGATTTGCAAGAAGATAGTATTGTGAACTTTCTTCCCAATCAGAGTTCATATCGAAACACACGGCAAATGATATAAAATAGTAGATGAAATGATTAGTTTTTTATTTAATATTTTCTCTGCAAAAATAAGGAGAAAAATTATGTGTACAAATTTCTTTTATATGATTGCAAGAAGATAATATTGAACTTTTTTCGTTAACTCAATCAGAGTTCATATCGAAACACACGTCAAATGACGTATAAAATATCTGATAAAACGCTTATTTTTAATTATTTCATTTAATATTTTTTTCTGAAAACACATAAAATATCTGCTGAAATGCTTATTTTTAATTATTTTATTTAATATTTTTTCTGGAAAAGTAAGAAAAGAAAATTGTGTGTAAAAATTAAATTATTTCACTAACAATTACAATTTGCGAGAAGATATTATTGAACTTTAATTATATTCTATTTAATATTCTTTCCGGACGAAAAGTAAGGAAAAAAAATTGGATAAAAAATTAAATTACAATATTTTATTATATGAGAAATGCATTGATATCGTAATTTCGAGGACGCAAATTTAGAAACTAGATATATAATTAACTTTTAAAATTCTCCGCACGCAAATTGACATTTCTCACATTAATAAAATATGCATAATGAAATTGACAATTAAAAGTCAAGTCTATCGTCGCTACTGTCCGACAATCTCGCGACGCGTGGTTTGCTCTGTTCTCCGATAGGAAAAGAGCTTTTACTTTCGACGGTTAATGAGTAATGACACGCGCGCCGAATATAGAGGACTAATCGATAATCGCTACTAGTCGTGGCTCTTTGCGCGATGTTTATCGCCTGTCGCTGCCTTTAGCATACAATTTTCAGAGGAAATTGACTACAGTTTTTTTTTATTATGCAAATCACACGCTTCTTTAACGTTCGCTTAGAGACAAAATATCGAGCTCTTGCTCTCTATTAGGAAAGTTCATCAATTAAATAACATAAGGAGATTTTTATCTCGTAAAAAAATTAAATATATTAAATATAAAATTAATTATATTACATAAAAAATTATATATATATATAAATTATATATATAGCAATCCTGATAGTGTAGGGAACTACAATTATTTTCCCGATTAGTGTTATATTAGTAGATGTCGAGCATTTAAATATTATTGCAATATTAAGATTGATATGCAATAAACAAAATTGTTATATCACATCCATCCGTTTATCCATTTATTCCACAGCGATTTTCTATATAGATAATAATATCGATATCAATAATATTAATAACGACATATAATTGTGGCTGTTATTAATTTTGATTTGAATATTTGAATATACATATATGCTTTTTTAATAATTACAGATGTAGTAAAATATTATTTTAAACAGTAGCGTTATTGTGTCTAGTATTATATAATTGTTTGTGAGATAGAAAAATAAGGAAAAATAGTTGGAGACAGAATCTTACATCTTGTTTTTTATATTCTTGTCACGTATTAATTAAATGAGATTTTAGTAGTCTTCTGTGATAAAATAATTTTATCTTAAACTACATATATAATAAATATACTAATTAATGATTTCAACGTAGGCTATCTTAATCTACTAAATTAATAGATCAGTCTGAACTATTTTGAAGTTAGTACGAGCATATTTTATTTAATCAGTATAAGACCCCATCGATAGAGTCTGAACTGAAAAACTATAAATCTTATGAAACGTTTGAATTTTAAAGACGATATCCATAAATAGTCCAGTAAAATTACACTTGAAAGGAGTAAAACTTAAAAAGTACCCTTAATTTCAGCCAGGGCGTTTTTTATGGGGGATAAAAGTGGATAAATTTTAGTTTTTTGCCATTATCTCGAATATTATCAATTTTTCGGGAAAAATAGTTATTATCAAAATTGTAGCTCGTAAAATTCTCTACAAAAAAGGTCATTATACTTTTTTTCGTACAACTAATCGTTTTTAAGTAAGACGTGCGTGAGTAAAGTTGCAATATTTCTAATACTATAGTAATGTAATGTGCACATTTTTTCCAGACTTAATTCGCTCTATATCTTCGAAACGATTAATCCCACGAAAAAAAGCAAAATAACCTCTTTTGAAGAAAATTTTATGAGCTACAATTTTGATAATAACTATTTTTCTTGAAAAATGAATCGTTTTCGAGATAATGGCAAAAAAATTAAATTTACCCTCTTCTACTTTCCATAAAAAAACATCCTGACTGAAATTAAGGATACTTTTCAGGATTTCATTAGAACATCGAAATAAAGATCTCCACAAAAAATCAACTTGATTATAATTTTTTTGAAGTCAAAGTCTAATTTTACTGGACTAAAATATAAAAATTAATCAGTTTCGAAGATAGAAATTTGTCTGCAGGAAAAATTAGAACTGCGCAAATGAAATGTTCTCGAACGTTTTGTCATCTTCACACGTATATTCGCACACGTGCAATGTGAAGAAAAATTCAGTCAATGCATAAAAACGAGCTTCGCTCATCTACCATCCGCGACATGGTCGGGTAATGAATAATTCGTCCGAATGTTTGATATCGAAGCATTTCGACGGCAAAAATTAAAAGATTAATGACGCGTAAAAAAAGATGAAAAAAAAGAGGAGAAGAGTCGCCGCGCGTTTTATTAAGCCATGTCGTTAATATGCCACCCCGGCTATAAAAGGGTCGTCGAAAGGCAGAAAACGTGCAAAGTAAACGTCCAACGAAGCGTGAATAATTACCATCAAGCCGATGAATACGTAATACGGTTTTGTATTAATTATCATAGATAATTAACACCGTAGGTGAAAATCGCGCCTGATGCTCATAGACAATTAATAACGATAGATAACAATTAACGACCGACTTTTCTCTCGAAGCCTTCTTTTTGTCACGACCGAATTCGCGCTTGCACGAGATAAACTGTACACTCGAATATCACCATCGATCAATCGATATTTGCAGACTTCTCGCGATTTCTTCCCTTCCAATTGATTTTACAATAATATCGCCCCACTTATACAGAATTGTGGACAGAATTTTCTTTTAGAATTTACCCTGAAAATTATGGTAATTATTGTGGGACAATATATGTATTGCGAGAATTTTATAAAATTTCTCTGATTAAATATGTATATAGTAAATTTTATATATTTTATTGTGTAGATATTAATATTTTTTATTGCATAATTTTTATAAGAGCATCTCTGATTAATATTTACATTTTATATTTTATCGTGTACAAATTTTCCCATTTATTTAAAAACACTCTATATTTATATACATGGACAGAATTTTCTTTTAGAATTTACCCTGAAAATTATGGTAATTATTGTGGGACAATATATGTATTGGGAGAATTTCATAAGGGTTTCTCTGATTAAATATGTATATAGTAAATTTTATATATTTTATTGTGTAGATATTAATATTTTTTATTGCTAATTTTTATAAGAGCTTCTCTGATTAATATTTACATTTTATATTTTATCGTGTACAAATTTTCCCATTTATTTAGAAACACTCTATAATTATATACAGAATTTTCTTTTAGAATTTACCCTGAAAATTATGGCAATTATTGTGCGATAATATATGTATTGGAAAAATTTTACAAGGGTTTCTCTAATTAATGTATCTACCACAAAATAAAAAATATTAATATGTACATATGGTAAATTTTTTACTATGTATAATATATAGTAAAATTAATCGAACATATTTTATATCTTGTTGTGATAGATCATTTATTAATTTTTAGAGAAACTCTTTTATAATTCTTCCAGTATCATGATTTTCATAAATCTAAATTCTAAAAGAAAATTATCTCTATGTATATAAATACAGGTGTTTCTAAATAAATGCGAAAATTTTTACACAATAAGATACGATAAAAATCACAATCTAAAAATTCTAAGAGAAAATTCTCTCTGTGTAAAGCATCTTATCGCATCGAAATGCATGGATTTTTGCATTTTTACGAATTTTCTTTGCATGTTTTTATAAACGCAAATTTTTATTTTTATCATATGTCAAATCATGATTTAACATAATCGACTTATCATATAGACATATGCAAATTATATATTTGGGAAAAATAATACTAAAAAGTCTAAATAATAAAAATGAATACTAAATAATACTAAATAATACTGAAAGGGAAAATATTAAAATTAATATTAAAATATAAAAATAAAAAGGAAAAAAAAATATCTGGTCTTGGAAAATCTGAAAAAGTCAGGGAAATTTTTCATAGAGGTCTGCTGGAGA